CTATCCTAAAATCCTATAGAGACATCAATTATTTACTAACCTGAGTCTGGTTTATTTTTGGCAAGTGACAAACACGCAATTTTCATGATTTCAGGTAACTTATACTATTATAAAACAACACCTTTTTTAAAAAATGTTTAACTCAAGAACCAGTTTGTGATTTCAATAGGACATCAATGGGTGGACTGACAAAGCAACCCCAGCTTAGGGCATAATGGCAAGTAGCCTTGGCCTAACACATGTAATCAACATCCTAGCTAGAGGGTAGGACTCACTTTTGATAGAAGAGCAAAGCCTTTTTGTTTCAAATTATTAGCTGTGGGTCAACAAATATTTAACTGAACATGTTATGAGAGACAAAGCACTGGGACATAGAATCTTAAGTTACTAGGTCATCTGCTCCAATACCTAATCTTCCTGGAATCCTCTCTACATCATCTTTAATCTCTTAAAGAGGTTAGCTCATATCTAACCTCTGCTTGAAAGACTATTACTGAAGCAGCCCCTTCCATAGTGAACATCTTTTAAAGAATGTTCTCAGACGTGGAGCCCAACTCTGTGGCCCTAGGGCCTCTATTTAAGGGGCCTCAATACACCCCTTTGAACAGAGCCTTGTTCTAACGCACTAATTGTATTCCCCCCTTCACAAGCTAAATCTCCCCAAAATCCTTCAAATATTCAAATATCTTAAATTTTAAATTTCTTCACATATTTTTTTATGCCTCAATTTGTTTCTTATTTCAAAGTATGGCTTCCAGGAATGATTATAACACTCCAACATCTTATGAAAGGCGATGAAGTGTCATCTCCCTTGGGATAACATTACTACATTAATTAGTTGTCTCAAGGGATGATAAGTTCTTAATTTAGTATGTGCCCAATGTGAAGAATAAGAGAATGCAATTTTCCTTCCAAACACAGGCTCATGTGACAGAAATGAGACCGGAAAAGAAAAGAACATCCCTCTCTTATTCCCAAATCAGCATTCAACTATAAGGCTTATGACTGAATGATGGGATACACATGTTTTTTTCACTGCTTTTAATTTTCTAGTTAAGTCTTGGAAGTATTATTATACTTGCATTAAAACACATTTGTCTGGCCCAGCCAGCACAGCTCAGTGGTTGAGCATTGACCTATGAACCAGCAGGTCACGTTTTAATTCCTGGTCAGGGCACATGTCTGGGTTGTGGGCTCAATTTCCAGTGTGAGGCGTGCAGGAGGCAGCCAATCCATGATTCCCTCTCATCATGGATGTTCCTACTTTCTCTCCCTCTCTCTTCCTCTCTGAAATCAAAAAAAAAAAAAAAAAAAAAAAAAAAAAAAACACACAGACACAAAAAAACCAAACATCTCTCTGGACTATGGTTGAGGAAAATAAGTAACCAATTCTAGTTGAAAGGGCAAACCCCAAAGGAGCTCTTCCAGAGCTAGTGTGGCTGGTTTATATATATTGTTTTAAAAAAAGATGTTTGGGTTTTAGTTGGAAGACCAATTCAAAATCATAACTGGTATTTATTCAGAATGATTCATTACCCGAAAGTGGATGCTGAATCTGGAAGAATTATGAGATGGCTAAAAGGGGAAATGAGGCAAATCATTAATCTAACACTGGAAGTCACTAGTGTCCTCCAAGGACAAATGTTCATGAACAGAAAACGCATCCAGTTTTCTATTAAATTCTCCCTGCACCCTCTCAGAAGTCTTTATTGCCTAAAATAATCCTAATCCAAATATCTAACTTTGGCCAGTGGCTTTTACCAAGTCCTAAATCAGAAATTATGACATCAAATCAATCCATTTGGCTTTCATTTTTTTGTGTTTTTGCCACTTTACTCAAGAAGAGATGAGAACATGAAAGACTAAAAGGGGAAAAGTAAGGCCAGAAAAAGCTAATAGGCTAATCTAAGGAATCCACAGAAAGGGCAATTGGCCCTATATAATCAAAATTAAATGTTAATATAATTCAATACATCTAATAAAAGCATACAATGTAATAAAAATCATTGCATAAGTAAAAGAGAAAGCACAAAATCCTTTGATGATGCAGTCGACACAAAGTCATAATAAATCATTAATAATCATCAAACTGTATGATTTCACAGATGTTCCCAAACCTGACACCATGACATAAATAGGATACATTTTTATTGGGATGTATTTAGTAACTTTATTAAAAGAAGAAAAAGATCACACCAAAAATGGAAACAGACGTGGAATCTGATAGTCTTCAAATTAAACCAAACTGATTTATGAGAAAGTAACTCTCTTTTTCAATCACCATTAAATGAGAATTCTTTTGTATTTAAGAAGAATCATCTTAGCAAATATTGCCATGACAGTCAGAATTAGAAGGCAAACCAGTAAGTTTAGGCCCTGGCCTGGATTAAGAAGACCACATTTAATTAGTGTCCTTTCTCAAGTTCTTTTTGAGAAATTTCTATTTAACCAAAAAAAAAAGTTCTTCTTGGCACTAAGTTATTTATTCAACTACACTTATTAAACACCTACCATTTTATCAGGGATTATTCTCAAACTTGAGCTACATTAGTGAATAAGTGTCCATAAGGCCTAATCTAGAATTCACACAACTAAAGATTAAAAAAAAAAAGAAGCCCTACATTCTTATCTGTCCTGCTGATGGGCCATGGATGGGTGACTGTACATTACAGACAGGCTAGAAGGTTAAAGGGAAGGAAGAGGCCAAGAGCAGACCTTCTAATCCCCTTCTAAGTGCAGCCAAAGGTAGATAGGGGCAGGTGAATAAGAACTGCAGATGCTAATGAACAACGTAAACTGATGAACAAAAACAGATGCAGAGACAGAGAAGCATCAATCAGACCATCAAACCTCAGAGGGAAGGTAGGGGAGGGAAGGGAGAAGGGGGAGAGATCAACCAGAGCACTTGCATGCATGCATATAAATATAACCGTGGACATATACACTAGAGGGGATGAGTGCACGAGCAGGGGCGAGGGGGATGGAGGGAGAGGGGCAATGGGGACATAAGGACACATATGTAATACCTTAATCAATAAAGGGGGGAAAAAGAATTTCAGATGCTAGAATGACTAGAAGCTGTTATTTTATATAAATGTGTCCAATCTAATAAGGTCCTATCCTCTAAGTTCACAAAGCAACTTTATTTTCAATACACTTGCTGTTGTGAGACAAAGTTGGGTCATGATGTCCTATGGTAACTGGATGTTTGACCTAATTAAAAGATAATAAATCTAAATGTAGAGACATTTCCTTACAGTTTAAAAAGAGAAGTTCTGCCCACCCTGATCAACTTGTTTCTGAATACCTTTAGTTGCTGGCTTAGTGGGGAAGATGGAGATGGAAAGGCAACAGTTATAAATTATTTTGGTTGGTGTTTATTAAAATAATTTTTCTTTCTTGTAGAGAGAAATTCTAAAATAAAGACATTCTAAACTTCTGGGATCTCTCTTACCCATACAATCAGCACAAATACAGTGGGGCCAACCAGTCCAAGTCCCTTAAAGAATACTATATAGTTCCCATGTGCAAGAGGTGGATCACTCTGAAACAGGCTAGAGAATGCTAGAAATTCTTTATCAATACTGTCTCTACATGACTCATTTCTTTAAAATTAGCTTTCAAACATCAACCTATCAGGACCGAGATTGCCACATCTACAGAAACAGTTTAATTGCATATTATATCCGTATCCCATTACTCATCCCTCAGTTATGCTAAGCAGCAAGCTACATAAACATCTGACAGCATCAACAACGTACAGGTTTAATTATTTTACCAATTTGCATTTATATCAGTGAATAAATTGGAAGGTATCAAAGTATGGCACTGAAGACATAATACATATTCAGCAGCAGGTCTTCCATTTTTGAATCCTGGTTTAAAATTGGCTAAGTAAAGGCATATACACCTCCATTTGAATTGGAGATTTTTCAGTAACACATGCATCTAAGGAAAGAAGGGAGTTGGGGAGAGGGAAGGAGGAAAGAAGAGAAGAAGGGAGAGACCAGAAAAGACAGAGAGGAAAAGAGAAAAGAAACAAGAAAGACGGTATGGTCTGAAGGTGACATTACTTCACAAAGGAGGTGACATGACAAGTGAACCTGCTTCCACAAGCAGACATTTTCTAAGGTTGTCGTTGAAGATACAAAAATGGTTCATGAGAGTTTTCATCTGTTGCTATTTTCACTTATACTAAAAACCTACAAAACCCCAAGCCTTGGTCTGTCCAAGAAAGATAGTACCAGAAAGAGAAAGATGTGACCCGCTCAAGGGTTGTGCTCTGCAAGGAGCTCTGCACTGCAGTCCATGAATCCACAGTATTTTGGTCAGATCTGGTCTGTTTCCTCACACATACTCATAGAGTCTTACAGATAATCTTTTATATCAGAATATTATTATCAACCATTCTTATTTCCATTTTTTCAATATTTTTCATTTACTCAAAGGGCAGGAAAGAATAGAAAATAGAAGAGAATGGTAAGATTTAGAGGGAAACATGAAAGGAAAGTACGATCTTTTCCAACAAATCCACTAAAGTATAACAAGACTTTGAGAAAGAGTGCTGATTCATGGACTTCCCTTAATTTTTTTTTTTTTATTTCTATGAAATACACATAAGGACATCAATGTACTAAAACATTTGGTCTGTGAAATAGCGGAATCATTAGCACCAAAAAGAGTCATGAGCTTGTATATATCATTAAAACAATAAATGTTAATTCTTGGTCATGGGTAAAGGTATTTTTCATCTTACATCTCAAAGTTCTTGAAAGTGCCTGTAAATAAGAGAAATAACACTTCAAACTCTCCATGGGGTCATCGACACGCACCACAGAGACAGTACTTGGCCTTCCCAGTTCTGGTTTCTCCGGTGGACAAGAAAACCAAGGTCCCCAGGAGCCCTAAAGAACAGCCCCCACGTGCACCCACTGGTGTGCAGGAGGGAATCCCCTGGACTGTGTTCAGGAATGCGCTTTTGCTTGCTTTTTTTAAAAAAGAAAAAACAAAAGCAACATGCTCTGCAGGTCATGGAGCACCTAGTGCAATCGTCTCCTTGCTCTGACTCCAGACTGCAAAAGGACGAAACCATTATATGTTCTGCTAATCCCGGCCTGTGGACTAGGCCCTTTGCCTGCCATGCTTGTAAACTCAGGAGTCAGAAGGTCTGAGAGCGGGAGCCATCATCATTGCCAGATCTCCCCAGCAATGTGTGGCCCATTGGTACAGCGGATGATTCCTCTTGCTTCTCCTTGCCTTGGCCTTTAGTTGAAGTTACAACAAGTCAAATAGCTGATGCTTTTCCCTTCCCCAGGTAAGGGTGATGATACACTGTTCACAAGGGTGTTCTGCCTGGCTTCCCTGATGAGGCGACACGCCAAGTCAAGGAAGAGTTTCTCCACGTTATCCGATTCCTTGGCTGAGGTCTCCAGATAATACATGTCCTGGGCTTCTGAGAATTCTTCTGCTCTCTGCTGGGAGACCTCTCTCCTTTCAGCCAGATCAATCTTGTTGCCTAAAACAGTGGTAGAATCACAGACAGAATCATCATTTGACTTTTTGCAGGCTTGGAAACAGCAAAATTCAATTCCTAATCTGAAGTCAAACCAGACAGATGGGTTTGTAAAGCCAAATAATGGGAGTATAATTATTGGAATGTTTATTTTAAAATACCAGTGCCATATGTAATGCAAAGGACTAGAAACAGCCCAAATGTCCATCATTCTGAGCACTGGCTAAATACACTATAATAGACCCATAGTAATTTGTTACTGTGAAAAGCAATAAGGAACATGTCTATATATGCTGCCAGTTGAGACACTAGGATATATTGTTAAGTGAATAAAGCAAAGTAGAAAAAAGTAGTGTATAACATACAACTGTATATCTAAGAACAAGGATGAAAAATATACACAGTTTATTTGCTTATTTTTTAATGGGACAATAAACCATAATCTTAATTTTAAAGATAATGATTACCAATTAAAAAAATAAGGTTAAGCCTGGGTCAGCATGGCTCAGTGGTTGAGTGTTGACCTATGAACCAGGAGGTCACAGCTCGATTCCTGGTTGGGGATGTGCAGGAGGTAGCCAATCAATGATTCTCTCTCATCATTGATGTTTCTATCTCTCTCCCTCTCCCTTCTTCTCTGAAATAAATAAAAATAAAAATATATTTTAATAGGGGTAGAGAGGGCTAGAAACTAGAAACTCTCTAAATATACCTTATTTTATAGATTTGACTTCAGAATTTTATAAATGGTGTACATAATTAAATAATTATAACTATACAATTAATATGGAATTAAATTTAAAAAACAATTCCTAAAGTTGAAAGCAAAATTACACAAGTGAGCCTGTTTATCCTGAAACAGCATAACCACACAGAGAAACGATTTCATGGGAGTTTAAGAGACCATAACTTATGCATCTCTAGTCACATATACCCCAACAACAAAAAGAATTGAAGGAAAGAAATCTTAAATTCTTGCAGTAATCATCTTGTCAGTGGTAGTGCAGGTGTTGTTATTCTGAGGCTGCTATAAATGTTTGTTGGGGATAAAGCAAGTGAGTGGTTGTGCAAGTGTCATTGGGACAGGGATTTTTGTTATGAGAAAAAGTAAATACAGATATAAGATTAACAAGATTAAGAAAAATTGGCTAAAGTTCTAAATTATAAATGGAAGTAACCACATGAATAATTCATGGTGTATTTTGTCTTTCCAACAATTTACCTGCAACTGAAACAGTTGCCCTTGACTGGGAATAAAACCCCAGACCCTTCGGTCTGCAGGCCGGTGCTCTAACCATTACTCAACAGGCCTGGGCTAAATGGATGTATTTGTTACCATAGAAAATCATGGGTTGTTTTCTGTTTTCCCCCCATGCGAAACAGAGGTTTACTCTCCTACAAAATGAGATAAACTGCAGAATTTCCCTTAGTGGATTCTTTCTGAAAATTAAGAATTTCTCAAGTAAGCATAAATGCAAGAAGGGACACAATTAGCCAAAGTCCATTTTTTAGGCAAAAAAACAATTGCTTCAATAATGAATTTCTTATCAACTTAAGAGATATATTTTACTTTTAGACCAGCAGTTTCATGATCTCGTAATTAGATTTAAAATAATGGTTATCAGCCCACATAATTTCACGGCAGTCTATCTTCTTCCCTAGAGCCTCCATTGACAGAAAAATCAATCAGTAGTATTTTCTACTTTCCTTTTCTGAACCATCACCATGAGATAGGACTTACTTAATTTTCTCTTCAATTGCAGAACTGAATGCTGGCTGGCTGCTCGAATTATATAGCTGTAGATTATATTCTTGGAAGGCACCAGTGCTTTGTGTGATTATACATCCTCTGATGCCCAAAAATAAATTTCCTTCCTCATTAGTCCTTACTTACCCACTAGCACAGTGATGACCTTGTTGCTGGCATATTGTTCTATTTCCCGCAGCCACTCAGGAAGGCAGCGGAAGGATTCCTCACAGGTTATGTCATAGGTGAGGATCAAGGCATTGGCGCTTCGGTAATAACTCTGAGTAATGGACCGAAATCTCTCTTGACCTGCTGTGTCCCAGATCTGAAGCTGTAAAGGCATACAAGAAGGATCAGGTTGGAGAAGCAGAAAAGAAATAAAAGCATAGCTTGACTTTAGCCGAAACAGGTTTGGCTCAGTGGATAGAGTGTCAGTCTGAGGACTGAAAGGTCCGGGGTTCAATTCCGGTCAAGGGCATGTACATTGACTGTGGGCACATCCTCAGTGGGGGTTGTGCGGGAAGCAGCTGGTCGATGTTTCTAGCTCTCTATCCCTCTCCCTTTCACTCTGTAAAAAAATCAATAAAATATATTTAAAAAAAAAAAAAAAAAAAGCATTGCTTGACTTTAGTTTAAAAGTGGAAACACCTTCACCCAAATAATTTCATTGTTATTTTCGGCACTAAGAAAAAAAGCACTTACCTTTCTTTCTTTCTTTCTTTCTTTCTTTCTTTCTTTCTTTCTTTCTTTCTTTCTTTCTTTTTTAATCTGTTGTGTGTGTCTAGTTAGGGATAGGGGTTTGCTTTGATTTGTTGTTGCTGCTGCTGTTGTGTGTGTGTATGTGTTTGTTAGATTATTTTTAAAGTTTTCCCTTTATTCTTTTTTTTTTCTTTTCTTTTTTATTGAATTGATTGGAGTGACATTGGTTCATGAAAGCATACAGGTTTCAAGTCTACAACTCAACGAAGTATCATTTGCACAATGCATCATGCACCCATCACCCAATCAAAGTCTCTTTTCATCTCCATTTCCCCCCCACCTTTTGCCCTCCACTACCTACCTTCGCCCCTGCTGGTTATCACCACACTGTTGTCTGTGTCTACAAGCATTTATTATGTGTCAAGCTCCATTCCAAGCATTTTACATGTAATAACTCAATCCTCACAATGACTATGAGGTAGGTACTTTTAATTGTATCCAATGCTCACATGGAGCACAAAAACATTAATTAACTTGCTCACCATCTCACAGCCAGTATGTTCCAGAGCCAGTCCCACCTGGCAGTTTGGTCCCAGAGTCCCTGCTCTTAATCACAATGCAATATTTAAGAGTCAGGATACAGGGAGAGCCGTCATTCAGCCAGCAATTGGAGAGGGAGAAAATCCAACTTCACCACCTTTTCCAGTTCAAAGTTCAAATGAATGTATTAAGGTATTATCTTTGTTCATAAAAACAGGAACGGTACCAAGGCAGAAAAAAAAATAATTTTCTTCCACCACTTTCAAGCTCTGTGACCTTGACCAAGTCACTTAGTCTCTTTAGGTTTCAGCAGTTTCTTTATAAAAAGAGGTTAATAAACCTGCTGAAAGTGCACATTTTCTGAAGTCATCTATCAGTTCTATGGCCTAATAAAATAACCAAAAAAAGAAAGGCAAAATGCTTCACTTCTCCCCAAATTTCCCTGCACAGAACAGAAGATACTGAAAGACAGCTATCCTCCAGAGAGACGGCTGAGTCAGAACAAACCAGAAGACCTTCAGAAATAACCAAGATAGTCTTCCCTTCTAACTGCATACATTTCACACGTCGAGCAATGCAATTTCACCCCCTATAAGCAGAACATCCTTTCCTCAGAGAAGGCCTGGGCACCCTCACATAAGGCAGGCTCCCCAGCCCCATATTCTCTCCTGCAACCCACCCTATAATTCTCACAGCACCCGACACATGTGAACCATCCACTTATCTGTAATAATTTATCAGGTGTCTGCCTCACTAAACTGAAAGCTTCACAAGGGAGAAGTCAGGGTCCATTTCACCCAGTTTTCCCTGCACCGGTGTGTCTGGCAAGTAATAGGGGGTCCTGATGGTGACTCGCAAAGCTGGGACTCAGACTGCAGGCCTCAGCCTCACTTCATGCCACTGTGCTGTTTGCTCCCAGAGACTCATTTACATGGGCATCGGCATCCAGCGGGGATGAGGCAGGCGGGGTCACCCGCTGCTCACACCCGTTTGGTCCAGGCACAAAGGCTCTCTGATTTGGAGTTACAGCTGCTCTTTGATGGTGGACATGGAAGTGTGTGCACGCTGAAGGCGACCATACAGATGTTCTGGCTTTTGCTGGGACAAAGGTTATTATTTCTCCCCGGTCCCAAACATACAGACATGGTTCCCCTGTGCTAGGACCTTAGAACAACGGACTATTGTTTTAGTGGCTCACTGAGCCTCTAAAATCACTTGTGATGGGACTTAGCACTGTCAGTCATTAGAAAGCAGTGTGTTCTCATGACTGGCGCATCTTGAGAACAGCCTCAAGCATTAAAGCCACTGAAATATTTCCTGAAAGTGTAATTGCATTACCTTGCCAGGATGCTTTCTCATAGGAGGCTACCCATTTCTTGAGGATATCCATATTTAATTGCCTTTATCTTTTAGCTCAGTTTCACCACTCTCTCTCTGCAATTCATTTGCTCCTTCTCAGCATTTATAGCTCATTAATATGTACAGAGCACTGTACTAAGCACTGGGAGAATACAAAGATGAATAAAACACAACCCCTGATCTCAAAGAGCTCACAGTCCATAGGAAAGATAAACACAATATTAACTGACCATAATAAAACATGAGATGTCCTTTTAAAGAGGTACCAGCAGGAGAAAGTTCCTCCTAGCGTTAGTCTCATGCCAATCTGTTCTCATCGCCACAGCCACAGGCTAACCACGCTCACCTCCGGCATGGGGCTAGGCAGTTCACGGGCTCTCTTCTTTACACTGCTTACACCTCTGTTGCCTCACCATCACAATAACCTACTGCAATCATTGGTTTAGTGTGTCTCCTTACTAGACTGAGTTCGTTAAGGGCCAGGATTGTCTCTTACTTTATACCCCAGTGCCTTCCTAACACAGTACATGGTACACGGTGGACACATTTGAGTAATGGCTAGTGTCCAAGGATTGTGGAATCACAGAGTAAGAATTAATTTTTTTTAAAATATATTTTATTGATCTTTTTAGAGAGGAAGGGAGAGAGATAGAGAGCTAGAAACATCGATGAGAGAGTAACATCGACCAGCTGCCTCTTGCACACCCCCTACTGGGGATGTGCCCGCAACCAATGTACATGCCCTTGACCGGAATCGAACCCAGGATCTTTCAGTCCGCAGACCGACGCTCTACCACTGAGCCAAACCGGTTTCTGCGTAAGGGTTAATTTTGTGTAGGGTATTAAAGATGTTTTCATAGATAAAATGTTTGAGCTAGATGATAGTAAGTTACTAGGGAGCAAGGTGCTTTACCTAACACTGTGCTTGGAACAAAGCATCTACTATAACAGAGGACGTTAAATAAATGGATAGATGGGTGGTCGGATAAGCAAATACATGTGCATGCTTTCAAGACTGCTTTCTATGCAAAATACACCTGATTAGAGGGGGTGAGGGGAGAGTCTATTACACATGTGTCAAACACAAGGCCCGTGGGCCAAATCCGTCCCGCCAGGCCTTGCAATGTGGCCCGCACCGCGCTGTCATCACTGCACTCTGCTTCGTTTCCATCACAATGACAGTTTATGACTGTTCAGTAAACCATTTGGCCCGCGATTTAGGCTGGATTTTAGATTTTGGCCCCTTCTCTGATTGAGTTCAACACCCCTAGTCTATTACTATAATTAATCTCCTAAAGTTAAAATATGGTAGACTAGCTTAGGACATTCCCTGAGGACTCCTGGACTGTGAGAGTGAGCTGAGGGGATTCCCCCCCACCGTCGCCGCGCCCCCCCTCACCCCCCCCCCCCGCCTCAGAGCAAGAATTTTCGTGCACCAGACCTCTAGTTTATTTATGGTAGACTAAAAAAGATCAATGGAAAAGAGAAAATTCTGTATGCTTTAGTTACATTTTCTGTGCAAGGTCACCTTCATTAATGCAGAGCACCTTATAAAAAGGGCCTCTTCCTCAGTTTTGCTTCATTGGCTTGGCACTAAATAGCTATAAGAATCTTTCTAAAACTTTTTTATTTTCTGTCTTCAATTCTGGGAGCCATTCTAGAAAGAATGAGACTTGTAGGGGAGCACGGGGGGAAGGGGATGATGAGAAGTAGGAGAGAAACCTCGGTTCTGGTCCTGCCCTGCCACTCGTGGATTCCGCACCGTTTCGGTTTTCCAGCTCTCCGTCACTAAAGTATTTGGTGTAAATGTCTGCAGTAAGGAGCCACTTGGTGGAGTCACTGCTGGACGACACCGGAGAGCTGTCCCCCACGTAGGAGCCTCATCCTAACACTCCTCTGTGTGTCTTTGGAACTCGGCAGGAGCACCCTGGAGCTTTTCTGTCCTTCCCCAGCATTTGAGGGCAGGAATGCAGGTGTATACGGGAGAAGGATGCAAATGTCGGGGACTCAAACTTGGAGTGCTTGGGCTGGGATCTAGCTGGGCTGATGCCACGGTTTTCACTGTGCAGCTGCTGCCAGGGCCGTGGAATCTTTCCATGGGCCTCAGCTCTGAAAGACCTGACAGTGGAATTTCACTAACTCAAGTCTCTCTATCCTCCTTCCGTGTGATTAATCTCATTTCAACCTTTCCATCACCTTCTTTCTTTCCTTGCTTCAAAGTGACAAGCTTATTCTGCCTTCCTTCCCATCTTCTTTCATGGTAGGGGAGACCCCAGGGAGGCAGTGGGGTGATTCAGATCCTGCCTATCTCCCACCTCCCTTCCTATCTGCGAAGCCACAGATAAATAAGTCACTCAACCTCTCTGAAACCTACAAAATGAAGATAAACCCTGGCTGGTTTGGCTCAGTGGATAGAGCGTCGGCCTGGGGACTGAAGGGTCCCAGGTTCGATTCCAGGTACAAGGGCATGTACCTTAGTAGGGGGTGCAGGAGGCAGCTGATCGATGTTTCTAACTCTCTATCCCTCTCCCTTCCTCTCTATAAAATTAAATGAAATATATTTTTTAAATGAATAATTTTCACAACAGTTATAGTAAGGATTAAGTCAAATAGGACGACATGTGCATAATCAACTAGCAAAAGGACTGACACATATTGGGTACCTGATAGACACCATCTCTCTTCTCCTGTTGTTTACACCATAGTTCTTACAGATCCCGAACTATCCAGAGGCCACAAAGGGGAAGGAAGAGGTCATGCATCCCTCCTGAACCTCTCATAGTATCTCTCCCTTGCTAGGAACAGGGGGATGATGGGAGACAGCAAATGATCCATGTGACTGAATGACCCATAACCAGTGTGGGAATCCACAGGCTCTTCATGGGGTTGCTGTTCGGAAGAGGTCGTACCACCTCCTGGCCCAACTCAGGAGAGAGATCCCAACAAGAAATGCCTGCCTTGCCGAAACCGGTTTGGCTCAGTGGATTGAGCGTTGGTCTGCGGACTGAAAGGTCCTGGGTTCGATTCCGGTCAAGGGCATGTACATTGGTTGCGGGCACATCCCTAGTAGGGAGTGTGCAGGAGGCAGCTGATCGATGTTTCTCTCTCATCGACGTTTCTAGCTCTCTATCCCTCTCCTTTCCTCTCTGTGGAAAATCAATAAAATATATTTTTTAAAAAGAGAAAGAAATGCCTGCCTTGCTTTTAGTATCACCTCTGATGTGACGAAAACAGGACAAACTTGCCTTAGCCCTTCTTTCTCTGTCTTCCCATCTGTAAATGCATCACCTACAGCCCTTCCTGCCCCCATAAAGGGAATGAGCTCTACTGGGAAATAAGCTGCTGTGACTGAGTGTATTATTTTCAATGAGGGTTTCAATTAGGAGATATGACAAATGTTATAAAAACACCATTTCCTCTCACATAGCACAATAAAAGCCTTATTGAACATGTAGCATCTTACCTTTACTTTTTCACCATTAATCTCCACGGTCTTAATCATAAAATCAACTCCAATTGTGGCTCCTTGACCTGGGGGGAAAAGACCCTAAAGAAGAAATAACAGAAAATAATAATTAAGCAAATCTTATAATTACCGAAAATTTTCCCACGTCCCCCACCACCAGTCCCTCCCTTTGGCTGAGTTAACCAGCAGAAAGAAGAACCCTAGTTAGTGTCCCCGGAGCCCTGTGTCATTTAACTTCACATGTATGTATGTTTTGAAGGAAAGAGAAAAGAAGGAGGAAAGGGGAGAGAGAAATTCTGAAAGGAAAGGAAAAAGGGGGACAAATAAGGGAGAAGAAGACAGAGGATGAAGGAGAGAATTGGGAATGGACAGAGGTGGAGATCTGGTTTCAAAAAATGAAACAAAAAAAAACAGACACAAACTAAGACTGAGTTGCCACCAGGATGAGATCAGGATTGTTAGGGGGAAGGCAAAAATGGGTGGGTTCTCTAAAAGAGGTAAAATCAAGGAAGATCCAAACTAGTTCTCAGTCTAGGGCATGGACATTCATGGAGGTGGACAACAATCTGAGAAACAACAGGAACGCAGTATGAGAAAAATAAACAAGACAATGAAGCTTTTGGATTTCCCCCTGCCCTTAGGGTGATATATTATTGCATGAGACCCAGGCCAATGATACTGGGAAGATAACTGAAGAAACCAGTCATTCAGGATTAAAGACCAATAGAAATAGCACTAAACCCGGAGGTAACAGCCCAGGATCTCTGTTGACTTCAGGCAAACAATTACCCAATCTGGGCCTCAAATCCAGTGAGTTTGAAGCTGCTATAAGCATTTCTAAACAAAACCAAAAAAAAGTTTATCTCAAACTGGAAGCTACACTAGATTCTATCAAAATCACATGCAGTAATGTAATTGACTGTTACATAATGTTTCCTGTAAGCTTAGGGAGGAAGTTCTATCAAGAAAGAACGTTTCACCTAGTTTCTCTTCCCTCATCACTTACATTCCAGAATTTCCAGAAATTAAGAGTAAAATGTATTTTATTGGCTCTGGCAGCTAAGATTGGGCCATCTTTAATTAAATCCATTCCTTAACAAGAGAAATCTTTAATTTATGTTTAATCTTGAAAGACTGAGCTTCAAAACAACAGAAAATGTTCCATTGCATGTCTGCAAAAGATGTAAACATAAACATTCATAACTTTACTTACAAATATTGAATCAATTTTCTTCTATTTTGGTTTGGCTCAAACACGAGGCTGCCAAGCTTCAAGCGTACAGCTCCAGCTGTTTTGCAGGCTAACAAATGCCACAAAAGAAAACAAATCCCTTCTAATGTCTTCTCCCCTCACTTTGCTCCCCAACTTCTCCTGCCTCAGCAACAGCTGAATCCAATTCATTTTAACTGCCTACTAAATAACAAAACCACACATAAGCCTGTCTATGAAATATGAACTTTAGGGGGAGCTGAGGGACTGGGAGGGGCAAAAAGCACACAGAAATGAAAAATAAGGGGTGATGTGCTAACTGGTAAAAATCTGTTCAAAAGTGGAAGTTTTTTTTTTTTTGTTTTGTTTTGTGTGTGTGTGTGTGTGTGTGTGTGTGTATGTGAGTGTTTGTGTTCTTTTTTTTTTTTACCTCTAATGACAAGGTTTTCCTTTAAAAAGATGCCTATGGTTTCAGAAGATAGAACATGCGGAAGATAAAGATGATCAGGCTGAAAACCAGGAGACCTGGGTCTCATACTAGCTTTGCCACTAACATTGATATGGGATACTAAGAGTTCACTTCATCCCTCTAGACCTGAGGTTTTCACCCATAAAATGAGAGGTGTGGGCTCTTTAAAGGATCTTTCTGCAATAAGAGGTGGTCAAAGGAATGACTGAAAACGTCTCTACATTTCTGCAGTCTTGTCCTCCTGCCAATGTTGGGTGGAAGTAAAACCAGTCGGAGTTTCCGATATGACGCGCTGTGGTTTTGACTGAGTCTGTTACTTTTGATTTCACAAGGCTGAGACTGAGCAAAAAGCACGAGACCTATTGTGTTCACTGTAAGGGGGGAAACCCTGACATTTCCAAAGGTGACTCTCTGCCCAATGCTGTTTGCCTTATCCAATCTGCCTCTCCAGGTTTCCCCAGAGCCACAGGCTGTTACTGCTGTGAGGGGCCTTGAAGGACACCAGGCCCCTCATGTCCATCAGGAAGGCAGGTGGGCGGTAACCTACCCAGGCTCAGAGATGAGCCAAGGCCAGAGCTGGCACTAGGACCTGTGTCCCAACTCCCAAAGCAATGTCCTTTCCACGGCACCAGCTTGCTCTATGCCTCAGATAAAAGAACTAGTCTCAACTTTCCCAACTAGCACTTCATGAAAAATGCAAGATGCATGTATGATAATCCCAAAAAGGATGCCATTCAAATCTTTTCTGGAAAAACACAAAAGAAGGTCAACCTCAGAATGATTTCCCACCATTTCCGTATAAAAACAAACATATAATCTCTGGCAATAATTCTCAACAGGGCAGCCCCAAAGGAAATTTGTACTCAGATCATAAGATAAGGGCTCAACCCACAGCAGAGATTTTATTTAGTTCAAGTAGTCCTTCACTGTTCTCAATTCATTCCTCTTAACAGATCTAGAAAAACCAGCATATTTGGTTCTGAACCAAAACAATTCCCTCCATTTTCTGGGGGACTTGAGAATGCAATCTGATTGGTTTAATTTGTATTTGAGTTTCAACAGTTGAATATAAAAATCAAAATGAACGAACAAGAAATTTAATGAACAAAAGAAGCTGATGAATAACATAGAATAAGAGGCATGGAAACATGGGACAGATGGACAGAAGGAAGCCAGGAGAAGGGATGGGAAGACATTAACCAAAGATCTTACATGCATGTATGCGTTACCTATGGGCACAGACTGTAGGGTGGTGAAGGCGTAGGTCAGGGTGGGAACTGGATGAAGGGAGGCAATGGAGGGGGAAAGGGGACATCTGTAATCCTCTCAAAATAAAGATTTTTTTTTAAAAAAATTAATATTTAGGTTTAACTTGATATCTAGACTTATTTGTTTCCTCCTTTGAGTTATTATTAATTAATATCTACTTATTAATCTAATAATTTGTTTTTTAAATCCTCACCTAGGGATATGTTTATTACTTTGAGAGGAGAGAGAGAGAGAGAGAGAGAGAGAGAGAGGGAGATTTATGTGAAAGAGAAGCATTGATCAGTTGCCTCCCATACCCACCCTGACCGAGGATTGAACTCACAGCCTAGGTATGTGCCCTCACCAAGAATCAAATCCAAAACCTTTTGTTGTAAGGGATGATGTTTCAACCAACTGAGCCACCCGGCCAGGGCCTAATCATCTATTTTTGATGCTGCACACTAAAAACAAATCTACTTGCCCCTTTTCATTAAAAGAAGCAACAAGACCCTGGGAGGGGGCTGGTGACCCAGAGAGCCATGCTTCCTTGAGGTGCTTAAAAGCTCTAGCCTGGGCTTCCAAACAGCGCATTAACAACTGGCAGCCAAGAGGCTGGCGCGGGGCCAGTCACCTGTCCTGTTATTCCTCCTAACCCCACCGACCACACCGAGAAAGCCAACCCCGGACTTCCGAGTTCTCTTACCTGAGTGAATCGTCGGACTAGGCACGTCTTCCCCACGCCGGCATTGCCAATTAAAACAATCTTAAACAGGAAATCATAATCTTCCATACTCATTTACACAGCTGCAAGGCAAACAAACACAGGCAAGCGTGAGATGGGGCCTGGTCAGACTTGCCCGCGGAGCTGAAGCTGCGCCGGCCCTGTCTCCTCGGGAACAGCGGGTCTGACTCATTTGAAGAGCAATTTAATGCTCCCCTCTGGTGACTCTGCCGGTGAGAGGGGAGCACAGGTGTTTGGTCACAGATGGACTTTATTCCTCCCCAGCCACCTCAGACCACGGAGAGCAAATGACACAGATGTTCTTTCACCTGGTAACCTTTACACTTCCAAGTAGTCAGGTCGCAGTTCGCTCGTGTGATAAGATGTGTTTTCGCACGGAAAGGAGATCATAGATCTATGTGCGGAGAAGTCAGGGTACAAGGCAGCAAGGCAAAGGGGAGCCCATCTCTTTGACTCCGAAGTTCTCACTGATCTTCTCCAACTATCAGTTAAACACCTTCATCATTCCTCTGTCCTAAACTTCACTTGCTATATACAGTTATTTGTTCAAATGTCTATCTCATCATAGAGGAAAGGGCTTACATCTTTCAGCTCTATTTTCCTAGATCATGGGACAGAGTTACACCTAGTAAATGACTACTCTAGAATGCAATAATTCATTAATGGTCATATTGCTTAAGTTATAGGCCTTAGCTTCTCCAAGTGTGCTACGAAGAATACTATATGCTCTACTTGAGGGGATTGTTGTGGAGATAAAAACAAAAACAAACAAACAAACAAAAAACCTATTAAATAGAGTCTTAGAATCCATAAAGCCCCATCCTACTGAAAATAATTGCAGTGTACTGAGTACCTACGATGGTACTGTGCTAATCACCATACAGAGATCTCTGCCCTCAGGACCAACATGAGAAAAGCTAAACAACAACAACAAAGTTCAATTCAATTCCAATCAGTAGCAGAGCTCATTTCATAAGGTGCGGGCAGAACAAGCCCGGTGGACTGTGGAGGAGGAGGGAAAGGGTGACAGCAAGCCATGAGGGGAAGGATGCTTGGCGAGTTAGAGAAGCCTCAGCCAGCTGGGCGGCAAATGACTCAGGGTTTCGGGGCAGAAGCAGAGCCCACTGTACTGTCACCAGTCAGGCAGCAAGAGGAGTAGGTTTCTTGTGTGCAAAGGTGTGTTCTCTGTGGATCTTAATTTCAACCGCTCCTTGGGAAGATGACTTGACAACCAGGCCAAATGCAGCTGGCAGCTCATGGGGTTCTGTCTCAGCTCAGGGGACCATGAAAGGAAAACATTTCTCTGTCAAGAACCTGGGTCTGTAAGAAGTCGTTGTACTTGCTATATGCCAGACAAGGTACTTGGCACCTTTTCTATATTCCCATTTGTTTTCATAAGTCTATGAGGCAGATATTTATTTATGTTCTCTACTTTACGAGTGAGTAAACAGAAGACAAAGGAAATTAAGAGGCTAGCCTGAAGTCATCAAAAGGAGCCAGAGAAACCTAGGTTCACAACCTGACTATACTGCCTTTTAAGTCTGTGCCTTGAAGGATAGTGCCTTGAAGGATAAAATTTTTTAGAGTCTTAACTTCACCACCAGCAAAATGGGGTTAATAACACGTATACCACACAGTTGTGATGCTTGAAGTAATTAATGAAAAGCCCCAAGGACAGGATCTGGCTCTTAGTCACCCCAAATCTTCACTGTGACTCACACACTTTTCATGGTCTGGTTTCTGCCTTCATTATCGCAGGCACCATCTCTGCCCATGCTCTAGGCTCACTAGATTTCTCCAGTTTCTTAAACACCACACAGAATGCAACCTCCCCTCGCTGCTCCCAGCCCTGGTAACTTTTATTCCTTCCTTAGATCTCAGATTAAACATAGCTCTCTCTAGTGTGCTTCTCTGACCTCTGAGGGGGACTGGGTACCCTACTATATGCTCCCACAATACCCTCCTCCTCTCCTTTAGTAGTACTCATCATGCTCGACTGTACTTAATCATATAGATCTGTCTCCAACATCATGTCTTAGCACCTCGGCCACACACACACACACACACACACACGCACACACACACACGCACGCACGCACTCAGGACCATGAGCAGGATGAGAGTAATGAAATTGTTCAGTCCTGATCCCAACCCGTCCCCATCATCATCATTTCACTATATATTATTAATTCATTTCATCCTCCAAACGATCCAATCTGGTGGACACTATTAGCAGCCTAACTTGGCAAATGGGTTTACTGAAGCAGAAGAGAAGGTAAATAAAAAGTTGTTAAGACCTCACTGAAGTTGTTAAGACAGCCTGGGTTCATTTCCCTGAACTACTGCCCTGTTGTGCCTTTCACAGTACCTGGCTCATAGTAAGAGCTTAGAAAAGATCTGACACATTAAATGATAAAGGGTAAGCACTTAAATATATGATTTCCATTCTCTCTTGTGGCTTCAAATCCAAAATTCTTTTCCACCTCACTGTAGTAATCTAAATAAAAATCAAGGTCAAACTCTGAATAAAAACTCAGGGACAGAATATGTTCATTAAAACTCAAGCTGTTAACAGTGAAAAGAAAAGAAAACACAGTGACAGCACAAGCATAGCAGAAAGATTTGAGGCTATGTGGACCACCCACGGATCACAGCTCATGGCTTTCATGAGCCTATAAACACTGAATACAGGATGGGGCTGCATTCTTTTTCTGAGCTTAAACTATTTGCCACACGTTTACTTCTCCATATTTGGCAGAGGTCAAAGAAGCAAGCAGAGAATCCAGAGAACAGCATCTATACTAATAATAGAGGAATAAGCAAATTGTCTGGGACGCCATCACAGTAACAGTAATGACCAGCAGGCTGTGTGGGATACCAGGCCGGCAGGGAGGTTAGTGAGGGATGACCAAATGACTGAACAGCAGGCTGTGTGGGGCGACCAGGCTGGCGGGGGGGGGAGGAGGGGAGGGCAGTAAGGGGCAACCAGGTCGGTGGGGGGGCGAGGGGAAGGGGAGGGTTGTTAGGAACAACCAAGCCAGCGGGGGAGGAGGGTTAGTTAGGAGCAATCAGGCTGGCAGGCAGAGGTGGTTAAGGATGATCAGGCTTGCAGTAGGGGGAGAGGATGGCAATTAGGGGCAATCAGATAGGCAGGCAGGTGAGAAATTAAGAGCCAGCGGTCCCGGATTGTGAGAGGGATGTCTGACTGCTGGCTTAGGCCTGATCCCCGGGATCAGGGCCAGTCAAACATCCTTGAGGGGATCCCAGGTTGGAGAGGGTGCAGGCTGGGCTGAGGGAACCCCTGTGCACCAGGCCTCTAGTTCAAATATAACCACCTGAGGAACAGGGCTCTTAAGAGAAGGTTAACAGTGCCCAAATCACGCACCTTCAAAAAAGGAAGGCAAAGAGTTATCTGGTCCAAGTCCACAGGCATCATCAAGTCTCATGTAGTTACCACCTGGAGTGAGCCACAGAATAAAAATTAAGGCTCTTCTCCTTTCTATAAGAAATTACTTTAATGCTCTATTGAATTTTTTTGAAAAATAAACATCTGGGAGGAAAGTGTTTGGATTCTTTAAAAATGCAGGCTAAGGCTGGACTGTAAACTACAGGTTACCTGCTGTGGTTACTGTTTTCTTTCTAATAGAAGACACAATGCTGAGTGAAAAGCTCACATAATTCTCTGGAAACTGCACTCTGAGGAAGCCCTTCTGCTTGGTGAGTAATGCAACAGCTCAGGCATCACCGATCACCAGGTGATGAGGCAGCTTCCCAGAAAGGGAAACCCAACCAGAAGCAGTCAGTTACATCCATCCCTAAAGGGGCAGCAAAGTCACACCTTGTCTGGGAAGCAAGCCCCTGGCAAGACATGCCACTGGCTAGGCGCTACTCTAGAAACTGTATATTCTATTACTGATGATGATGATGATAGCTGACACTCAATGTTTATGATGTGCCAGGTTCTGTCCAGGAATATTATCATCCCTGGCTTTCAGAAGATGAAACTGAGGCACAGAGAGGTTATGCTAAACATATACAGCTAGTTAGTCTTAGGACCAAGATTCAAACCCAGACCCATCAAACTCCAAAGCACAACTCCTTCTGAAGTAGATGCCGCTGCCCCTTGCCTCGTGTTAATAGCACTGCTCTATCTGTCATAAGGGCGGAGGCCCAGGTGAATGGAAACCCAGCTCCTTTGAACTACAGTGCTCTAGAATCTCCCCGCTCTGGAAGCAGCACCCACATTGATAGGTTCACACACTGATTCCAGATCATACAAGCACTGCTCCTCACTGTGACCTCTGAGCGCAGGTTTCTTTTAGGAGCTGGACCCAGATTTTCCCCTGTATAGCATGCCCACAATTCTGTCACCATTCATCCATGTAACCAAGTACCAGGCACAGGGCATAGAGACAGGATCACGATGAACAAGCAAAACTCCCAAATGACATGATCGCCACAATAGCTCTAAATCACATGTGTCAAACACAAGGCCCGCGGGCCAAATCCGTCCCGCCAGGCCTTGCAATGTGGCCCACACCGCACTGTCATCACTGCACTCCGCTGCGTTTCCATCACAATGACAGTTTATGACTGTTCAGTAAACCATTCGGCCCGCGATTTAGGCTGGATTTTAGATTTTGGCCCCTTCTCTGATTGAGTTCGACACCCCTACTCTAAATAAATGGAGATATGCCTAAGGTTCAAAACAGAAAAATTAGACAAAGAAAAGGAAAAAATGAGTTTAAAAAATATATAGGAGCCGAAACCGGTTTGGCTCAGTGGATAGAGCATCGGCCTGTGGACTGAAGTGTCCCAGGTTCGATTCCGGTCAAAGGCATATACCTTGGTTGCGGGCACATCCCTAGTAGGGGGTGTGCAAGAGGAATCTGATCGATGATTCTCTCTCACTGATGTTTCTGTCTCTCTATCCCTCTCTCTTTCTCTCTGTACAAAATCAATAAAATATATTTTAAATAAATAAATAAAAAATAAAAATAAAAAGATACAGAAACCGGGTTCTTTGCAAAGCTTAAAAAGAAAAAAAATTGGGGTGTGGGAG